AGGGACCTCAGACTGCATCTCTCTGGGCAGGGACCTCAGACTGCATCCCTCTTGCAGGGACCTCAGACTGTATCTCTCTGGACTTTGTCAAAGCCTCCACTTTTCAGAGACAAAAATGCAATTCCTAACTGACAGTTTGTTTCTAGAAAGGACCATGCTAACAACAGAACCAGGAACATGATGCCCACTTCATAGATGAGGATAAAGGTTGTGTTCAGGCATTCAAGTATTACAGGTTAGGATTTGAAACATTGCCACGGGTTTCTTTGACGTGTCTCTTATTTTGAGGTGAGTTCTTTGTCGCCTTTAATCTGGCCTGGCTTGTGATGGTTCCCCCCCCCCCCCCATAGATTTCTCTGGAAACACAGTTCTGTGCTCTTGAACTAATCATACAGGCCAGTTGCTCCTGTTATCTGTACCTGCTGTGCCCTTGTGCATAGAGGTTGAGGATCAGCTTCCATGTGGCCCTCCCATGGGGGACCAGAGGCAGCTCCTTGAAATTTAGTCACTGCTTGGCCCCTTCTTGTGTCCCAGGCATTTGCAATTGGACTGGTGGGCAAGGAAACTGTGGGCAGCGAGGTGCTCTGGGAGCAGAGACAGATGCTGACAGCTCTCGGGTACAATGGGGCCTAGGAGGTCTGTGGGCATGGGACTCAGCCACCATGAGGCTTGTATGAGGTTTGGTTTGGTTTTGGACTTTACCTGTTGAGTCATTTTGCTGGCTCTGGCTTCTGGTTTTACCTTATCAGATTATGATTTTATCCAGTGCATCTCTGAAGCCACCTCTTGCCTCATCTCAACAGAGGGTGGGGAGGAAGAAGGAAAAAGGGATTTCTTGAGATGTAACCTGAGAGCCAATACAATGTCTACATGGCTAGTGCTAAAACATGAATTGCTTGTTCTCCCTGGAGAGCCTATGCTCAGACTTTGGCACGCCTCACTCTTTCCCACTTCCCCATAGGAAGAACATGCTCCCACTTGGGTGAATCTTTTTTTTTTTCCTCCTGGGCTCCTCTCAGTCTTACCCCTACTACTTAAGCCTATATTAAAATGTCCTTAACAGACAACTTATGTTGGAGAAGATGTGGGGTAAAGGGAACACTCCTCCATTGCTGGTGGGAGTGCAAGCTGGTACAACCCCTTTGGATGTCAGCGTGGCGATTTGTCAGAAAATTAGGAAACAACCTTCCTCAAGACCCAACAATACCACTTTTGGGTATAGATGCAAAGAATGCTCAATCGTACCACAAGGACATGTGCTCATCTATGTTCATAGCAGCTTTGTTTGTCATAGCCAGAACCTGGAAACAACCTAAATGTCCCTCAACCAAAGAATGGATAAGGAAAATATGGTTCATTTACACAATGGAATACTACACAACAGAAAAAAATAATGACATCTTGAAATTTGTGGGCAAATGGATGGATCTAGAAAACATCATAATGAGTGAGGTAACCCAGACCCAGAAAGACAAACATCATATGTACTCACTCATAAGTGGTTTTTAGACATAAAGCAAAGAAAAATCAGCCTAGAATTCACAATTCCAGAGAACCTAGACAACAATGAGGATCCTAATCTACATGGGAAGTAGAAAAAGACAAGATCTCCTGAGTAAAATGGGAGCATGGGCACCATGAGAGAGGGTAGAAGGGGAGGGGAGAGGATGGGAGGGGAGCGGAGAAAAAAAATATAGCTCAATAAATTTTTTTTAATGTCCTTAATAAAAATACCAGCTGTTCTTCACAATTCCAGGTCGTCCTGAAATTCTTTCCGTGTTGAAGCTAGGAATCCCAGTTTAACCTTAACCAATGTTTCGAAAGCTTAGGGTCACTCCTCAGGATGCTGAGAGTGACAGTGTGGGGCTGTGACCCTCTGTCGCTACTGACACAACCCAAATCTAAGTTCCTGGGAAGCAAATGGTTTTCAGCCTGCTGTGCACAAGCATGCACTCGTCACTGATGTAAGCCGTCATTCGGCTTCCTTTAGTTCCTCCCGCTGAGCACATGGGCTGGGAGCATCCTGGTCTGCCTCAGGTAGTACTCCACTAGCTGATGAGAGTTTCATAAAAACAGGGGAGTCCTTACCGAAAGCAGTGGCCACCCCAGGAACAGGCAACAAAGCTCTCTGAAGAGGCTTATGTCCATCAGGCTTCCTCTACCCCTAGTAGCTGCTAGAGAGAAGAAAGACCAGAGAACTGTGGGGATGAGGGCAGAGGTGGGGGTAGGGGCAAGGATAGGGGTCCAGGTCAGGAGTGCTTTGTAGCACCAGATAATGAAAGCAAATGGGCCAGCATTCACCCTCATGACCACTTTATTCTGTGCTCAAATGGTACAGTGATCTTATAAACTTCACATGCTGTGGAGAGTCCAAGGCATGGCTGTCTTCACTTTGCAAGATGCAGGTCCTATTCTGGCTCAATTCAGAGCCTGCTCCCTGCATGAGGGAGGGAAAAGCGATGGCAGCCAGCTACGCCAGTAGAAGGCTAGAGGAGGTGAGGGACATCCAACTCACGTCAGCATCACGTGGGTATAGGGACCAGTTCTGCAGGCCAAGAAGACCAGCTTACCAATGGCTCAAAGGAGTCTATGGGCTCACGTTCTCCAAGTTGATAGAAATGTGTGGAAAATCCATTCTTCCCACAAAGGAATCACCTGGGGGCAGGTGAGGCTGGAGGGGAACACCAATCTCTTCACAGTACAGGTCCTTGTCAGTGTGGCTAGCCCCAATCACACTCTGAATAGCAGTGATGGAAACAAGTGCCCATTTAAAAAAATGAACAAAAATGTTGGGTACCATTCATCTCTCAACAGCCAAGGACTGTGGTGGGATCACGTGGCTCAGAAAAAGGGCCTTGTCCTCCAGGTTTGTTGGGCTCAGTGCAGGCCACAGGCCTCGCTGCCTTCCAGCTTCCGTCTTCTCACTACAGGGGCTTGCGTTCTGTTCTATTAGTGAAGCCTGGAGTCTGGTGTCTGCGTTCAGAGCTCATCAGATATTTCCCTCCAAAACTGAGGTCTTTCTCAGGGTCCTAAGTCGTCATTCTGAGGCCGTCCTTCCTAACCTTATTCCCTGAGTCACTTCATAAAAACTTAGAGAAACTGGCTGTGGTGTCTTCTGTGATAAATAAGAGGATTCAACTTAGAAATAAATAACTGCATCTGGAAGCCAGAGAGATGTCAGAGAGCGTGGATGGCACTGGACGGCTTCATGCCACTGAACTGGTACCCACAGCCTGCTCAGGTATCCTGGATCCGCACTCTGTGGGTTTATGCTGCATTCTAGCAGGGCCTGGTTTTCCTGGGGCTGGGTGACCTGATCCTGATCAGGGTTGGATGCCCACCAGCCCAGGGCTCTGGCAGCTGAAGAGGCATCAGTGGCACGGGTTGGTCACCGGTTTGGCTTTGTGGCATCAGAGACCCCGCTTTCCACCAATACTCTCTTCGTCATCTCATCATAGTAAAAAAGAAAAATAAAAATAAATCACAAAACACTGTTGACAACAAAAATTCCAAGGATGCAATCACATTAAATTTACAAAGCATTTCCCCGAGGAACTTAGAGCAGTTCTCAGCCTTCCTAGGCATTTCTCCGATCGCAGGAGGAGGAAGGCCACATTTGCGTTTTACATTTGAGACTGTGTGGGAGCCTGCGAACGTGGTACCTTCCAGACTGGGAAGTGGAGAGAAACTCCAGGAGTGTAAAACTCGATCGATTCCTTCTTCTTTCCTTTTTCTCTCTTCCTTGCTCCTTTGTAATGTTGCGCTAGAAAGCCCAGGCCAAGCCGCCTGCACCCCTGGCCAGAAAGCAGGGCAGCAGCGGTGTGTGAGGTCAGGCTTTGAGGGCTGATGCTTCTGACAATAGAAGCAGACACAGGATAAGCAGGGCTCCCCCAGGCCTAGGAGGGACACTGACTCTTCATGCGCTTCTTCTCCACTGCCAGTCTCACAGCCTGAATGAGCGCGTCTTTGTTATTGAGGATATTATATTCTGAGAGCTTCACCAGCTTGTCGAAAGCAGCCTCTGTGTACGTCAGTTCCTTGGTAGCGTAGGGAGACTTGGCGCCATAGATGTTCAGCTGGCCCAGTTCCAGCTCCTCGGGACTTCGTTCTACACCTTGGGGCAAGAGGATTTGCTAAAGATTATAGTAGGTAGGAAGGACTTGTTCTCACACACACACACACACACACACACACACACACACACACACACACACCCCTAAAGCATAGTTTATCCATCTGAGGTTTTCACATAGCTGGGTATCAATAAATGGTTGAATGACTAAAAGAGCAGGAGACCATATTGCCAGTTCATGGGAGAGGATGGAGGGAATTCTCTGGGTTCAGACTAGAGCTAAGTCAGGCCTCCCCTTTGGGGTCTTCAGAAGATTCTGTAAGTCTAAAAATGGGCTTTTGCCTGTCTCCAGCAGACGCCGGGAGCATGACGTTGAGGGAGCTTACCTGGAGCCTTGTACTTCTGGAAGGTGTCATTGATGAGCGGGAAGTAAGCCACAATGGGGGCAGCGAGTTCCTGGGGATTCTCCATCAGGTAACACTCCTTGAGACTTTTGTCATCCTCCTGGATGGAGTAGCTGGGGAAGGGGATGTTCTGCGTGGTGCAGTACTCACAGGTTTGTTTCAGGGGCTATAATGTCATGGGAGGACACTTTGAACGTTAGAACTTGTTGGGAAGAGGCCCGAGGTGGGGGGTGCTAGGGGTGAGCCCCAACAGAGATCCTGGGTCTGGTTTCCTGATTTTTTTTCTAGCTAGCTCTGGTCCCAAGCTGCTTTGCCGCTGTGTGGTATTTTAAGAAGAAAGCCAGGTTAGGACAAAAGGCCCAGGCAGTGGGCTGGGGCCCATCTTGATGAAAGCCCCTCCCCTGAATGGAAACACAGAAGCTTCACTGTTGCTGCTTCCCCCCAAGACAGATGTGGGGACACAGGGGTAGCCTCTGTGAGACTGACAGACACTGGGGCCTGGAGTCCTGACTGACCACTCAGAGACTTTGGAAGTGACAGTGTCCGAAGTCTGGATTTTGAAAAAGTACCTTTTAAGTCACAAAGAACCCCCAGTCCCATCATTGCCTTATTTGCATGCACCTCCAGCTAGCTTCTTAGTCTGTGACTTAGGGGTAATAGCAGCTGTGCAGTCTACCATAAGGAGCTGGTGCAAGGCCAGGTGAGGTCCTGGGTAGGGAAGTGCCCGGTTGCTTCTTTACGAGCTTAGGCCACAACTATTGCTTCCGTTCTAATTATCTGTCTATAATTCCTTTCTTTTCCTGGCTTCAGGATGGGATTGTATCAAAGTTAATAACAAAAAAATTCTAAAACAAATAAACAAACACCAAAAACCAGGGTTTTCCCTTAAAGAGAGAGTAAATAACAATAATAACAACAACAACAATAATAATAATAGTACCACCTCTACTACCACCACTGCTAACTCGTTTAACCATATGGATTACATGGACCCTAGGATTATTTTGAAAACATGATATTACAAATCATCAAGATATTTTTTTTTTCAGCTGAAAAATGGCCAAGTGCATCGGATGCTTAAGGGCAATAATAAGGTTGCTATTCACGGAGTTCAGGCAAATCCCAAGTCCCAGCACGTGAGAGTCAGCTGGTTGTCAGCGAGGTTTGGTCCTCCGGCCCTGATGGTGCTGCGCAAGGGAAGCTCCTCTGACGCAGCCTCGGAGTGCGCTAGCCGGGCACCTTCTCCCATTTCACACCCGTGCAGTCTCCGAGGTAGAGCCTCTGACTCTGACAGCTCAGGAGCAGCAGGGCTGACACCGTCCCTGCTTTACTTGCCTTTGTCTGGGATCCCGCGCAGTAATTGAGGTGGATGATGAGGTCGATTTTTCTCTCCGGCCTAAGGAGGGGTGCGTAGCTGGAGTTGACAAAGAAGGCAGTGTCCAGCAGGTTCAGATGCTTTGTGAACTGTGTCAGCTGGTTTGGGAAGGTGTCCAGTACTGTGTCTGAAAGTCAAGCCCTCTAGTTAACATCTTAGCTACCCGGTGCCCTGATGTCAGCAGTGGGTGGGTGGAGGCACTGATATGACCAGAGTGCCCTGCTTGGAGCTTTCTTGCTTCATCCTGGGGCCTCTAATCTCCCACATTCTCTCTAAGGCACCGAGTCCTACTTCTCTGGGTGGGCTGACGTATAACAGCATGCTCTTGAAACTTTAGCAAGTTTTGTATGGGTTTTGCACACAAACCTGCCATGACCCATCCATGGAGCTTATGGAGAAGGAGGGGCTTAACATCCTATAAACTAGGGGTACCCGTGGACCCAGAGACATCTGCCTATTTTGCTCCAGATAGCAAGGATAAGGATAATGGTCCAGACTTAAGGACTTTGCAGGCTGTGGTCAAATAAAACATCAAAGATTTCCACGTGGTGGGAGAGGAGGCACCCTAGACCTTGTCCCCAAAGCCTTAGCAAGGAGAGGCACACAGAATCAAAGCTTTGAGAGTGCAGTTTAAGGTCCGGGGCTGTGAGACTGAGCGAGGCTGTTCTTGTTCAACTGCAAAGGGGCTTTCACTCACAGTGAAAGGTGTTCCCCAAAGATATTGCCAAAAGTGCTCATATCTCTCCATTTGTAGAATGGGGTCAACATCTGCCGCTGGGACAGTTGCTCAGATTCTGCAGTTAGTCAATTAATTAATTAATGCCTGCATTGCCCCCTGCTGGCAGAGCTGTGTTCGTTCAAGCCCTCAGCCATAAACCTGACTAGTCCCTCCCCCCTTCCCCACATCCTTGCCCAAGCCAACTGTTTCTCCCTATTAACATGACCAGAAGAGGCTGTCTTTCTCCATGGCAACTTCAATTCTATTTATCTCCCTCCCAAGAGAGCCAGCCCTGGAGGAGCACCCAGCCCAGGCGGGTACCTTTCCACATCGAGAACTGTTTGTGTTGTAGGTAGCCAGTATGCAGCTGCAATCCGTACAGGAAGTTGTGGAACTCAGACACGAGGGGCCTGTGCGTGAGGATCTCTCGGAAGGTGTTGGACAGCCATGACGCTGGGATCACTACTGTGGTCTCCAAGGGGTTAGCGTCACATTTCGGGATTTCGGGCAGGAGTGGATCATCTTCTGTAGGGGGAAGGGATGCAGGGCCGGTTACAAAAGTTGGGGTAGCGCCTGATTGCTCGACCCTTGAGAGAGAGAGTCACTCTAAGTGCAGTTCACACTGCTTCGCCCAAGCCCTAACTCTGAACCCAAGAGGACTTAGGACAGAAGTATGAGATGAGGGTGGGGAGGGATGGAGAGAGAGAAGGAGAATGGCCAGGAAGAAAGGCCCCAGAGAGGATGGCGAGCCCAGAAGTCTTGTGTTTCTCTGTGCTCAGAGATTCCCAGGGCCATCAGGTCTTTGGATGTTGGAGGTATCCTTCTGGACCTTGGCACAAGCACCACCTGTAGCCACCCTGCCCCCACCCCTGCCACCAGTGAAGGAAAACACTCTGGCCCAGCTGCCTTCCCTTGTCTGGATCACGGGGACGAAGGAGAAACAGTGCCAGGCAACCAGTCCTTAGTTCATGAACCATACGCTATAGATCCATTACCCAAGAGGGGAAGCCAGGCTGCCACCCACCGATGTCATGCAGTCTCTCCCTTGTCCACCTGTAGAAGAACTCCTCTGAGGTATGGGACAAATTCCAGGCATCAAGCAGGTTCAAGGAGAAGATGCTACTCCACAAACCTAGAGAAGCGGAGAAGCCATGAACAACTCTCTCCAGGCCCCCTAAATTTCACTGGCTGAGCCTTGGCCTCAGTGCCTACTCCAGACCAGGCTGCTTGCAGGAGGGACGAACTTGGATTTCTGACTCCCACTGAGCAGTTCCATGCAATGGCTGATGGTGCCAGTCCTTGGCTCTTTTTCTCCCTCCCCTCAGGTCAGGGGCCAGGAGGGTGCTTAAGACACAGCTGCAGGGGTAACTGACAAGCGCAGGCTTTGAGTTCAAACCCAGTTCCACCCTTGCATCAGCTCACACTGAGAAAGCACTTAAGATAGTGTCTGGCATACAGTAAGCCTTGATACATAGAAAGTTAGCTCTTACTTTTGAATGTAAAATTTATATAACAATACTATACGGTTATATAAAATTTTATATATTAATACTATGAAATAATAATAAACCAGATATGGTAGTTCACTCTTGTAAGCCCAGTAGGAAGGTACAGGATAGACAAGAATTTGAAACTAACCTAGGCTATATAGTAAGCTTCAGGTCTATCTGGGCTACCTGTTATGATAGTGAGACCCTATCATAACAAGCCAATACTAACAATTATATTCTCTATTTAAGTTTCTCATATGGACCTGAGGAAACAGATCCAGAGAAGTTAGGCAATTTAGGCAACTTTGCACAGCTAGCAAGTGAGGAACCAGAGTTCAAGCTGAATTATAGGCTTCAAAACCACACAGACTTTAGTCTAGGGGCTTAGGGGAGAGGAAGGAACTGTGCACTGTGGGCTTCTGTGCGGATATCATAGACGAGATGGGATTCAATGGGGCTTTCTGGAATGGGTTGCTTTGGAGTAAGTGGAATATAGGCATCCTATTTAAATAAAACATGTTTAAATAGCTGCTCTTGAAGCCATAAAGATAGGCTTATTTTCTAGCATTTTGTTTGTAGATAAGATTTTGAAGAGAAAAACAAAGAGTGGATGTCACAGTGGATGATGTCACAGTGGGTGATGTCACAGTGGGTGATGTCACAGTTGATGATGTCACAGTGAATGGTGTCACAGTGAATGGTGTCACAGTGGGTGATGTCACAGTGGGTGATGTCACAGTTGATGATGTCACAGTGAATGGTGTCACAGTGGGTGATGTCACAGTGAATGCTGTCACAGTGGGTGATGTCACAGTGAATGCTGTCACAGTGGGTGATGTCACAGTGGGTGATGTCACAGTGAATGGTGTCACAGTGGGTGATGTCACAGTGAATGGTGTCACAGTGGGTGATGTCACAGTGGGTGATGTCACAGTGGGTGATGTCACAGTGGACACCACAATGGGTATCAGTAAGTGTTACAGTGCACATCACAGTGGATGTCACAGTAGGCATCACAGTGGATGTGATAGTGGATGTCACAGTGAACTCCTTCACTCAGTGACCTGCCTTCTGACCCCTGTACCCAGTGACCTGCCTTC